TTATCGTGTCTGCCCGCAACGTTCGTGATTTGTTCGCAATCGGGCGTACATTACCGCGGATATTACTATTGGTGTTGGGTGTATAGAAATGTAAGATATGCGATTTTGATCTATAGGATTTGGAAAAACATTACGTAATTTTGTTTGAATTGCGATTTTGTTCATTGTCCTCCCGAATGGCGAAATGCTCAAATATCACAAACACATTGCGTTACGAACAAACGCATATTATATTATGTATAATAATATTATGCGAAAAGTGGTCTGCAGTGTATACGAGTAGGTAGTGTGTGCGTATAAATAAATAATGGAGACGACGGCAATGGCGACTTCTTTGTCGGATGGTTTAAAATATTTTTTTTTTTTTTTAAAAAAACGAGTTTTCCCTTTCGATATTCTCACAAAATGCAAGTGACTAAACCAATATTATAATATCATTACTCCACATCGCAGGGCAATTTAGCTGCAGCGATGTGTGGGACGTTGATCGGCGGCGGCATGGCGTGGCGGTACATTTGAATCGTTTCGATAGAAAGTCGCGATGATTCGTCTCTTATATTATATTTCCTGCGGCGACTGATTTACGAAAAAAGCGAACGCAAAACCCGTTACAAAATTCAACGACACTTTTTATTTTTTATTGCGATTTCGTTTTTTAATTCGTTTGCATTGAATAAAAAAAAAACCGGTAAACTATAATATACACTGCGGTGAGCAGCCATCACAGTATCACACAATGTGTAGTAAATTATTTTAAAATTTAAATACATTTATACAATCATTTATGTTTGCTCACTGGATTTGTGCAATGTTTTTCCGAACGTCCGAGAAACTATTGAGTGGTGGGTTACTATTGTCTCATTGCACTTATTTTAGACCAATAATGCTCTCTACTTAAAAAAACTTATGTTTGATTTTACTTTGGTTCAAAAACTGTAATGTTTGGTCGATATAGGCCGAGAAGTTTAAAAGAACCAATACATTTATTTAATACTTTATATACATATTCAGACACATTTTCTTTCAAATTAACAGGCTTAAGACTGACAATCATTTAAGTTGCAAAATATCATTGTTAAAAATAAAGGTTTTTGTTGGTCGTGTCAAAGCATTTTAAGACTTAACGATGATTTATTGGCTACGTACAAAAAGACTAATTCCTATACGTATGTTATTCATGAGATTAATGGTTTTTGTAGTGTTATAATTATTACGTACGTAGGTACTGAATTAAAATAAAAAAAAACTAAACTTGTATCGACCGAGAATCGTTAAATCGACAACTATTATAATAGTAACAACGTTTTCAAACCTGTTTTTAATCCAAGTGCTATTCGTCTATTTATCGCTTATGTAATAAGTGCAATTCGACTATCCCTGCGCCGAGGCATTGCACATTATATAAAGGTCATTTCATCAAAATGGTATATATAATGCGTGTACTTATCTATCGTATAAATGGATAATGTTATACTCGTGAATAGTTGCAGGTGGGCAATAATCACCAAATTATCGTAATAATATATTTGAATGAAACTCGTATAAACATTCATATTAAGCTGCACACGACTATGAATTATTTCTGATCGTCTCAAATGAAAACGCTTCTCGGACAAAATCCCACCGTGTTCTTCAGTGTACCGAAGTCGTCGAGGCCCCCAAGTCGTGTATTATATTATAATAGGTACGATCGCCAGGGCCACCGTCTTGTTTTCGCTCGTGTAAATTAATTGCACATTAACGGACGCGTGCGCCGAAGAATGCGCACGTGGACTTAATGAGAGTGATTCCGAAACGGAACAATTACAATATTATTACTGTGATTATTATATTTTTGTGGCTGACCGCGGTTCTGTGTCTTTTGTTTGAATATTACAACCACACTGTTGTAGTCATAAGTATACCTACTCATCATAATATTTTAATACGGCAGGCTATAGGCCGTCCAATATAATATTATTTTTATTGCACCGCGACGGATAAGAATAATTTACTGCATAATATCGTTATCTATCTCGGTGTATTATTGTTATTATCGTAGAAGACGATCGGTTTTTCGAAAAATAAACTCTGTTTACTACGCATAATATTATTATAATGTACTGCACTTGGCCGTCGATGTTTATCGCGTCCACCACGATCGATGGCTGCAGCAGCAGCAGCAGCTGAAAACCCGGTTTTTTAGTCGCACGCACCAGTCTCTATTTTAACCCTAACGCGCAGTCGGGCTCACGTTTTTAAAAAAAAATTCACGTGAGTGTGTGTATTGCCGCACACACACACACACACACACACACACACTAATCGGCCGAGCAGAACCCTCTTCCATATAGTTATACGATATTACGTATAGGTATAATATAATATGGTGTACGAGTCTCGCGTGTGTATTGCGCCGAAACCGGTCCACACTCGACCCGTCGACGATTGTGTGTGTGTATATGCGCCTCTCTTCGGACCCCCCGAAAAAAAAAAAAGAAAAAAAGAAACGGACAGAACAGACAAGCGAATAAATCCGACGGACGGTGGCGGCGGTGGCGGGTGCGGAGATAATCATCGACGGCGGCGGCTGAGCGACCCGCGTGTGTGTGTTTTACACCGCCATGTTAGATACGGTCGTCGGCGATCCGTTTCTTTGTCGAGATTTCGATTTTTTCCATCGTTATAATTATATTCAAAACGTATAAATATGTGGGTACCATACTCGCGTTTACGTCATATTCATATACAATGCACGGGACGTTATACCATTTCGAAAGATTTTTCACTATTTCACACGCACATACACACACACACACAGATTCGGACGACCTTGAATGTACGTTCCGGCCAAGGTCGCGTCGGATCCCGTGATAACGCGTTTCACTGTCGTCGGATGATAACAACACCACATCCGCGGTCTTACGTGTTATTATTATTATTATTATATTTCCACCGACGCCGTGCGATCGGCCTTGGTCTCGAACGACGTAGGTACCTACCTATGTGTTGCACGCCAGTGGGTCACGATATGACCCGGAATCGTTTTCGTTTTGTCGGTATTCATATCGATACGTTTAATGTATTTTATCACGCTCTCATACTGATAAGTATAATGGGTAGTGCGATTAATAAAAAAACAACAATAATTCCGCTTGGAACGCCACGCGTATCGGTAGACTCGATAGTGGTAATAACCATCGTCATAGTCGTCGTTTATTATGTCGTAAAATAGTTGGACTATATTATAATATTGCACTATACTATATTATCATAAATCGCCACCGCCGTCGGTGGTTTTAGATTATCATTATAACGTGACTGTCCTCGAGCGAACGTGAAATGTAATATGCAAATTAATATTTACAAAGTAGGTACCTATTTTATCGGTGCGAAATGGAGTTTTTTAGTCGAAACCGGAAATCAATCATAATATAATATACGGGTCGTGTGTGTGATGGGATTTCATCGATTTTCACAGACCTTTCTGTAGTGTGTTATACCGATACGATAATAATAATTTATAACTTTTACCGTACGACAGTTGGTTTTGTCAGATGTGTTATGACAAGAAATACCGGACGTCGTTGCGGGGGCTATAGTGGGCAACATGCGATTATTTATGGCTACCTATGTGTGTGTGGGTGTGTGGGTGAGTATAAACACTCGTGTCATACAACCCCCCGTTAGGAACGTCTCTACGGGACCTGGTCCTAACACAACGAATAATATAAACGGGTTGTGATTGTTGTGGAATTTTTATCGCCCTACGACGTGTACGTGTGACATTTGTCGGACGCGATGACGTATGTGCTAGTCCCTTTTACGCGCTTTTGGACCCAGTCCAATAGACCTCTAACCGAAAATCTTTCGAGGCCCGTGTAGTCTATATTCGGACGCCTTGACCTTAGCTGTGAAAATTCTATCCCATTGAGTATACACACACACACACACACACACACACACACATACATATATATATATATATTTATTTTCGATGCGAGCACCGCGACGATTTTTGGATACTTGCCCGACGTAACCCGTTGCGTATTGTGTCTGGTCCGGAGAGGGGTGGCACACAAACCATTATAATAATATTAGGTATACGAATAAACGCCTACGGCTGCAGGTAGTATAACAAAGTGGTGCTGGTGTGGTGGCTAACCTGTGCATTTGCGGTAACCGGTATATAACGCACAGACACTCCGCGGTCATTTATAATAATTTTAATTCTACGCATAATAATTAAGATCGGAATACGAAACAATATCATATTATACTATATCGTTATGAACATGAAGCGTACAGGGCTAATGAAATGAGAGTAAACAAGACAAACACAGCTGTCTTCGGACTAAAAATAATCGGCTATAAAACATAAAACGAAAAAATATTCCAATATTATTTTTTTGAACTAAAAAAGCGTTTGTTTTTTTTACTTTTATGTAGCAGATCTTTCAAATTGAATAATTGTGTTATTTTCACTATATTATTATTTATTACCATTGCATAAATTATTTTTTCATACGATTTCATATCAAAGCAAAGATCTTGCCAACTTCAATTAAAAAAAAAAATGGTACATTATTTATTCAAATAATATAAAAATTATTTTAAAATCCTACAAATACTCGGTTCTGAGTTTTTTTTTATTCTCTATAGTCTATAATTTCTACATTTAAATATGTAAAAATGTAAAATTGTTAGTGTAAAACAATACTGTCATTTAAATAAATGGGTAATTATAATTTTAAAAGGAATGAATTTAAATGTGAATTACGTGCTTAATTTACCTTAATCCGTCACTCTGGCAGTGTACCCAATAGTTATATACTTACCTAATATAGAAACATATCCTATAACAGTTATTAGCAGTGCTAATGTAGTTACAGCCTATCCAAATTCGATAATATTAGAATATTATCTATACCCAAACTCCAAAGACCTTTGCATTACCTATTCATTACAATATGATACACGCACCGTTATTAACAGACACTTTTTTCTTTTTTTTTCTTTAGCAGATATTCGCATCCAAGTCGGAATTGCAATTGCACTCGCAGCTGCACGTCAAAGACGTGAAACCGTACAAATGCCATCAGTGCAACAAAACATTCGCCAACAGCTCGTACCTGAGCCAGCACACGCGCATCCATCTGGGCATCAAACCGTACCGGTGCGACATCTGCCAGCGGAGGTTCACGCAGCTCAGCCACCTGCAGCAGCACATACGCACGCACACCGGCGACAAGCCGTACAAGTGCAGGCACCCGGGTTGCACCAAGGCGTTCTCGCAGCTCAGCAACCTGCAGTCGCACTCCCGGTGCCACCAGACGGACAAGCCGTTCAAGTGTAACTCGTGCTATAAGTGCTTCCAGGACGAGCAGTCGCTGCTCGAGCACATACCCAAGCACAAGGAGTCCAAACACCTCAAGACGCACATATGCCAGTACTGTGGCAAGTCGTACACGCAGGAGACGTACCTGTCCAAGCACATGCAGAAGCACGCCGAGCGGATGGACAAGCGGCCGCCGATCATCGGCATACCGCGCGTGGCCCTGGAGAACGGCGCGTACTGGGGCAAGATGTCGCCGGATACGGCCAACAACCTGGTGGAGGCCATCAACCAGCAACAGCAGCAGCAAGAGTGTATGCAAGGAGGAGGCGGCGGCGGTTCTAACGGAGGCGGTGGCGTCGCAACCGCCGGCGACTTGAACGCCGGAGGACCGTCCAGCACTGCGGCGTCCGTGGCCGCCGACGATCAGCCGTCCAACAGGCACGGCACCCACCTACCCCCCGCTCCGCCAGAGTACCTGTCGGACACGTCGTCCGTTCCCAAGACGAGCACGTCCGCGTTCACGCCCATCCAGTCGTTCGGACTGCCGACGCACCCACCGCCGCCACCGTCGCACCACCCACACCACCCGCACCACCAACAGCACCACCAGCAGACCATGTACATGCCGTACAACCACTTGTCGTTCTCGGGCGCCAAGCAGCTGGGCGCGCACGGCCACCAACTGTCGCCGATGGCCGGCCCCATGGACATGAAGCCGCCGTCCGTCGGGTCCAACGGGTTCCCCAACCAGCTGATCTCGCTGCACCACATACGCAACTACTCGCACCAGCCGAGTCCATCGTCCATCATGTCCGAACACCTGTTGCACGGCATGAAGGACAAGGTGCAGTAGTAGTGGGTGATGAGCGGCGGGCATCGTCGTACCCACTATACGTTTATATTATAATGTACCCACATCGACACGCCGCCGCGACCCGCTGGGCCGTACCGTGTGTCGAAATATCTGTATTTATGTATAGTTTAATATTATGCATAATGTCATAATAATATTATTATTATTATTATTATTATATGTGTATTGTATCGGTACGCGGAAAACCTTATTGATAATAATATTTATGAAACGCCCGCACGGTATTCCTTATAACAGTGGCGTGGTGAACATTTATAAACCTTGATGCCCAGCATATATTTCAGTACCTACCCCTTCTTTATCCCCTTAATATAATATATAATACATATAATTATTATGGAACTGTAAATATTTTAATTTTTGTTGTATGTTATTGGTTACCATAATGTACCCAACCACCCCACCCCAAAAAAAAAAAATTCACCATGACGCCTAGGCGTCATAAAACCCCATTCACCACGCCACTGCCTTATAATATTATATTATTACCGTCGTCGTCGTCGCCGCCACCGCCGCCTGTGTCGCGTGTGGTTAGGTTAGATATATAATATTATAATGTGTATACATTTATACCAGGTTAGGTATACCGGCTGTGTGTATTATGTATGTATATATATTATTATATTATGTATACCTTGCAACGCGAGCCAACTGTGATGACGCACGCAACAGCGAATTGTCGACGACCACCACAATTTTCTCGCCGATTTACGCCGTTTAAAATCATTATTATTATTATTATTATTTGTATTATTATAATTATTATTATCATTATTATTATTATTATTATTATTATTATTATTATTATTATTATCATCATTATAATGTGTTTTTATACGTTTTTTGTCCAATGTCAACGTGTATGTGTCTCATCGTCGCCTCGATCCAATCCTTGATTAGTTTATTTTTTTCATTTATACCTCCCTAATATTATAGTATATTATATTAAATTAAGTTTTGGTGTTAAGTTATGGACCGAGTGTATACGTGCGATTTTATTGCCCGTATCCGTGTAATGCGTGTAAATATTTTTGAGTGAGTGACGAGATGAGGAGAACAGCTATCGTTAATTTGTATTGTATTTTTTTTCTTCAACCTCTTCTTCTCGTCAAAGTGAATTGTCTGTACCCAAGACTGATGTGTACATAATTAATAATAATTATTGTAAAATACATAAACAACTAACGGAAATCGGGCAGTAAAATACTATCGAAAAAAATATTAAATAATAATGCAGTTATAAATGTTAGAGGTATTAAACATTTTTTCTCTTTATTTTCATTATTATTATTATTATTATTATTATTGTTTATTATTTTTTTTTTTAATGGAGAGCGTTAGGGACACAGAGGTCAGTCGCATGGATCTCAGTAAATTGTAGACGACGTATATTGTTTTTTGAAAACCTTACTGAAGCAGTGTTTTACATTTCTTTTGTGATTGTTACCATTTGTAATAGTATAGTCAACGAGTCACGAAGGTAATTAACAAATTCCTAACCTAAAACTTAATTTTATAGGATACGTAAATTTTATTTTGAATAAGTTTGTAATTTTTTTTTTTGTAACTAATTAATTTAAAAACGTTAATTTTTTTAATTATTATTATATAATTTTTATTTCGTTTAATGCTCAATTTGTATTAAATTTCGTTGTTCCGCTTTTAAACAAATTATGTAATTTTTTTTTATCGTTGTGATGGTTCGGTACTTAAGGCTAACAAATATTTTTTTTGTTTTTGTTGAACTATTTTAATTTACGAATTGTACAAAAACGAACATGGAAAAAATGAAAAAAAATAAATAAAAATAAGCCTGTACATTATTAGTTAAAATGTTATAATATAATATAATATATGTATATTATAACGTGACTATTAAGTTTGTTGTACAACACATTTTCCGACGGTCTTATATATTATATATATAACTAAATATATATATTATGTGTATAAAAAATTTATATACATAAGTTGTAAAATAATTTTTTTTTGAGGTTGATAAAAATATTCCAATAAAAAAATGTATTAAAAAAAATGGCTACATTATTATTTTTTTCCTTATCACCTAAAAAAAACTAGTTAATATAGGCAGTAAAGTATTTGTTTATGAGAATTTAAAGTTTGAGTTATATCATAATGATTAGGCTTTATTAATAATGCGTGTTTTAATAATCTAGGTATAGTATTTGTTTCTAACTTTGTGATGATAACGTGTTTTTAAAATGTATTGCGTATTTACAATAATGTTTTGTTAGTATGCTGTAAACCCTTTTTTTTTAAAGTAAAAAGCTCAACGATTTTTATACTGCTTTTTAAAGAATACATTATTTAATATATTGAAATTAATTAGGTAATGTGACTACTACTTTTACTGATACATATACGATAGGCGATCATAACGAAAAATATAAACTACCTATGTTCCGTCAACGTATTTATGAAAAAATATGCAAGCAAATATTATTAGTTCAAATACTGTCAAATTTTTGATTTAATCAATCTATGCTCATATTTATGATAATTTGCTTATTTTAAAGACTTTAAGCAACTCAAAGGTTTACTTATATTCTTAAAATATATTTATCATGTTTTATAAAAAAAAAACTCTGCATTTGGAAAATCTGGGTTTTGAAATCTCCACTACGATAATACTATACAGAGTAGAGTGTGTGTACCTGAGACATGAGTAAATGTGTGTTTTTTGGAGGTGAAAAGTGGCCTTAACCCAAAAATATTTTTTCAAATGTCGCAGTTTTCGCAACGACCGCCTTAACGAAGTTGACAACGACCTTGGGACCGACCAAGCACGGAAACCACAGGTAACCGTCATCGTCGTCGACCGTCGTAATTATGGCTGTAGGATCCGATTGGATCAATTAAAAATAAATAGGTACTCGATCAAAATGTTGATCAATTTTGGGAAATAGTTTGGAACAACTTCAATTAAGCGGCATTCGTAAAACCGAACTCGTGAGCTCAAAAATTATGATGTTTCAAACTAACTATGGGTACAGCATCTCATTGTTTAAGCATACATTTATTAATAGGTACAAATATAGAATGCTATATACTATTTTGGAAATGTTAAATTACCTGCTATGAGCTTTGAAACTTTTGCGATCCTGAATATTTAATAGGATTTAGGATTGAATATGAGTCTATGATAATTAATAGTATGTTATATATTATTTATAATATTATGTGTGCAATGTGTATAATATGTCGTGTACCTATTTATGAGTAATATCTGACACTCACCAACAATAATCATACCCAAAAGTTGAAACATCTTTTGATGAACATACCGAAAACGCTCTGATAGGACACTCATAGTTACTGCAGGAACAACGGACACGCATGCGCAATAAAAACATTAAACCAAAATTGTAATTATAATATAATATATTATATAATATATTATATTATAATTATAATTTATTTATTTTATATTTTGTTATAGACGTTATAACTTATAACATATTTTATAGTTTTATTAAAAACCGAAGTAGGTATAGTCGTATGGAGCGTTTTTAATTATTATATACTTGATTATTTTGACAAGGTTTTCTTGGAAGTTAGATTTTCTAAAGCGTATCATATAATATAGGTATAGGTAATACAATATTATAACACAACAAATACAAATGTATAAATAAAAATCGTAGAGACGTATATAGAACTGTATAATATCCCTACAAGGGTTCCCGTGGATAATAATATTAGGTATATAGTTTACTTTGAGCGTCCTGGCGCGCCATCCTCTGGAAACGTACCTCACGTGTTTCGACGGGCCGGAGGAGATCTACACCAGTTTGTATTATTATTCGTGGGCGTGAAAAATAATAATAAAAAAACACTCGAAACTAGTGTGCGATCTCGAATTTGACAGTGGCGAGGCAGGCGCAAAGAACACGACGACCATTTCATAATAGACATGCTGACGGAAAAGAAAACAATGGTGATAGCAAAGGGTGGGTTTTTACTGGACGTATACTTGATTTTTTATGCAGTATAAACACGCATGTCTTGAAAATTAGATTCCGGTAAGCACGGTTGATGTTGTTTTATACCACTGTCCGTATTTTTCCGATTAATATTCCGACAATTTTAAAAAGAAAATATTATTTAATATTTATTTTAAATCAGTGGTTGCTGTTTTCATTTAGAGTAGACAGTTTGAACGGAAATATTTTAACTAGATCCAACTTCATGGTAATATGGTATACCGTGTGGTAAGCACGGCTAAACATTTTGGTAAACCAAAAGAATATACCACACTAACCGTCCAATCTCCTTGAAGGCGCGTTCACAGCTACATCGTGTATAGGCTTGGTTATTACAGGATACCAAAAAAGTTATATCCAATCACAATACGATTTGATCGACATGACACGACACGTGACTGGTCTAGTGGAAACCATAAAACAATGATGTTCTATGGCGGGAACCCACCTCGCCAGCAACACGAGTATACCGTAAAGTGTAAGGAATATGTTTGATGGTCTGCACCTCGACTGGATTGTATACCTATCACTGACAAACGGTTCTTTAGTGATAACGCGTTTTCCGCAAATGCATCCGTGTCAGCACAGAACAATATGGTGTCAGAGAACTCGATACCGCGGTCCATATACCATTGTTCATATCATAATTGGTTATGGCATAATGGCATTTTATACTAACTTGGTGGTTGGGTAACAATGACATTTTCCTTTGGCCATACTTGGCCATCGATCATTCTGATATTTGTTAGTTATTACGACAACAGTCGTCACCATCAGTTTTCTCTGTACCCGTATTGTCTGCAACGTCTGATTTACGAACGACTTTCGATCGAATCGTTATTTGATACCTATATCGGCTAAATTATACATTTATATAGTGATATGGAGTCCGAAGAAATTTCAACGAAATTATATTATAGTTTTTAACGAGCCTTCGGCCAACAAAACGCGTTGCCAGCTGTTTCCCGAAGATTA